CTCTGGGACGCAGTGCTACAGGTCTGGATTTCCAGAAGCTGAGCTGGGATTTGCATTTTCCAAGCGAGGGCTTTAATTGCTTGGATGCCATTTAGTAGGCCCTGGCATGAGCTGGAGCCCTCCTCATTTCTACTCACAGAGCAGGCATGAAAGCTCTTATTTCTGCAGCTGTGGTTTGCAGCTGGATGCCTGGGTCCTCCTCCCCATCCCCCCTGCCCCGGGCTCATGACCCTGTGTGGGGAGCTGGATTGCAGTGGTGATCACAGCACTTAACGAATGGGCCCTTCTGGCGTGGGCTGGGGTTGCCATGGTCAGGCTGCTCCCAGAGGCACCTGAATTAGCTGGAGCTGCCTCAGGTGTATTCACTGTGTTCAGGGGAGGGGCAATTAATATTTTCCCTTATTGTTAGGTCTCATTGCTTAGTGCAAGGTTAATGAGTGCCAAAGCTGGGTGCCCTCCTGCTCTGTGTGCCGACCATGCTGGTGCTCATACAGTGTCTGCCTCTGCCCAGTACACTACAGAAATGCCATGCGCTCAACACAGGGCCTGGACTCTGTGCCAGGGGTCAGGCACTTTAACCCTTTATTCTTCTGGACCCTGTATTTATTTTACCATATCTTGCTTTTGTTGATGATCATTTGATTTTTTTTTTTTCCTTTGCTGCTTGAGACCGGAAAAATTATTACCTTAGAAGGACTGGGCACCTGGTATATATGTTGTTTGATGTAAACAGTGATCTTAGCAAGCAATACTGCAGCGATCAATCAGAAAAATCAGAAAAGCAAAATGTAATGTTACTATTTCAAAGTTGCAGATAAATCTGCATATTATTTGCAGGCCTTAACGAGAAGTCACTTTTATTAATTTGTTTTTTCTTTCCTGCAATAGAAGTATCACAGAATTGGCAGTCAGATCAGTGGGACCGAGCTGTCTGTGGGTACAAGAAGACAGTTACTTTGCAAAAATGTTTGCTCAGAGGTTTCCTTCTCAGCAAGAGAAATAGTTAAAGAAGCATATTTTTAATTTCTGCTGTTTGGTTGACTGGTTCAATAGCCTAAGAAAACAATTACAACATAAAAACATGGGTACGCTGCTGGACGCCACAGTAGCTGAGCAGCTGGATGTGACGGCAAACAACGCGCTCTGCGCTCGGTGCCCTCCTGATTGGGCTGCGTGCGATGCTAATGTAGCCGAAAAAGTGACACTTGGTGATATTGCCAATTGGTTATTTTAATTTTCTCCGACATTTGTTGATGTGAGGTGCAGGTTTTAGAAATAAATTTTCAGAGCTGTTCCCAGTTAAGTTGAATGATTTAGAAAACCAGATAATTGCCCTAGGACAGACCGTACAAAAGGATATGTTTTTCATATCTGTGGAATAATTGCTGCACTGGTCGTTGAATGACATTTGTAGATACCACTGTTGTTGGCTTTACTAGTGGACTTTAGTAGTGGAGCTTTGAATTCCCGTCTGGGAATTGCTGAACAACTTTTTTTGGCTAGAATAAGTTGGGCTTTTTAATCTAAAGTTATTTTTTTAATGGTGCAATGGTGGAAATATTTTGTCACTCTATTTTTTTTCTCAGGGAAAAGCTAAAAACTCTTGATTTTAAATTAAAATTTTTTTTCAACATTTTTATTTCAAAGATAGACTTTTCAAGTATTTAGTTTGTTATAATTTAAGAAAAACAGCAATAAAACAAAAGACTTCTTATTTTTTGAACTATTATGTTCAGTACATTTACTTAAATTTAGCTTTTAAAAGTAACATAAAAGATGTAATCTGAACCTCCCTTGAACTCTAAATATTTTATTTCAGATCAAGTGTTCCTTTTCATTGAATCTGAAGGACTTTTTGTGATACCTCATCTCACTGGAACATATAAAAATATATTTAAAATGTTTCAAATAAATCCAAAGTGATTCTTTTGGTGATTAGAACCAGGATGTTTGTACTTGATGCTATGCAGATGTAACATCTACTTTTCAGATTTTGAAATGATGAACATGTCCAACATATTATCCAACTTACTTTTCCTCAAAAGTTCCAAGGTTTGGGGCATGAAGTTTAATGAAACTAGTGGCTTCTCCTAGGTTTGTAAATGATGAGTTGTTTCCTATTTGATACATTGACTTTGCTCTTCAGTGCTTTTGAACAGGATTTTATCTTTAGTCCAAAACTCCTGTCTTTGGATGAGACTGCCACTAGGCTGTCGCATCAGGCAAAGTCGTGTGACGGGCACAACCGTGCAGCTCGAACACTGATGGCTCCCGCTTGCCTTTTTACCATCTAGACCGACGACTCTGAAGGGCTGTGTCAGTGCCAGATTTCCTCCCTTTGAACTTCTGGATGGGTTATTTCTGTTAACAAAGATTGCTGGGTGCCTCTGGAAGATACTTTACCTCCCTGTGTCTTCCTATTTACAACCAAAAAAAAGGGGGGGCGGGGAGAGGAATGTATAGTCTACCTCTTTGAAATTCTCCAACAAAAGCTTCCAGAAAAAAACAAAATATTACAATGTTATGCTCCTTTGCTCTAAGTTTCCCTTTTATTACTAGGAACTCTGTTATGTGTTAGGGCACCTTCTGTCTCTGTATGTGGCCACCTCTGGTGCCAAAACAAAGTGTCAGATAGCCTATTCTTCAATATATATGTCCTCAAGCCGTTAGTCTGCCTCTGACCTACAATCTGGATAGAGTTACTTTGGCTGCCGTGAAGGTTTCATGCTTTTATTTTACAGCACCTGGAAGAGTGCCAGGCAGTGGAGAGCGAGAGCAGGAGTATGAGATACTACTGTGCGTCAGAACAGCCTTAAAATGAATGTCATGAATTCTCAGCTTTGAGAACTGAATTCCATGGGTTGTAATTGAATCCTCTGTCAGACCCATGGGGCTCAGTTCTTCAGCTTGGATATTTCTGTCTTCATATGCACAGGAGATCAAAGAAGCACTTGATCATTCACTGACTCTTCTGGATGGTGATAGCAGCAGATAGGAAAGAGAAAGAATAACTGATATGAATCATTTTGACAGGGAGGTCTCACTGCAAAGGCCAGGTTCTCTTATGTTAAATAGCTATATAGCGATTGAATCTTTCCTTAGCTGATAGGCTCTCTGTTGCTGTTCACTGTTTAATTCACTCTGCTGTTTCCTCTCAGTTTTATCAAGATTATGTACAGGTCTCTGAGATATTGTTGATTGAATTACTGTCCCCAAGTATAGCAAAGTGGTGCAGCTATGATGAGCTGCACTGTACTGGTGAAGCCCTGGCACTCCCCAGCCTGAAGGCCAAGTTTGACAACTGCTGCCTGGCCATGACCTCTGCTGTGCTGGTCTGCTTGCTGCCTGGAGACCCTTCCTGCTGGATGTGCATGCTGTTTGTTTTGTTTTGTCTTATGCGAAAGACCCATTTTCAGTGAAAAAGATCTCTGATGTGACTGAAGTATATACATTAGCACCAGACAGCAGGATCTGGCATAAACACAGACTTTCTTTCCTGAAGAGGGTAATATACTCCCAGAGTGTTCGGATTAGGGAGGTTCTGTTGTAAGCAGCAATGGCAATGAGTGTGCACTGTTTAAAGGCTTGGCAGCACAGGCATCCCCTTATAGGTGGAGTCATTCAAGCCACGGATTGATAAAGTTCACGTTATTTCCATGGAAGAACTATATTCACATTTTTCTTTCAGACATCAGGAAAATAAAATCTTGGTCCTCTCCAAGCTTAAAAAGAGTTAATCTTGCCAATGAACTTCCCACTTCTTTCCTGCAATAATAACACCTTCCCAAATTACTTTTTTTCTAATTCACAGTGAAGTGGATCAAACAGTGATCTTATCATTGTGATGCAATGCTCTTAAAGCATAGGAATATTCAAAGAAACAAAACCCTACGGGTGCACGTTCAGCTAAGTACCTTAAAACAGTAATGTGCCTTTTATTCTGAGAAAAGTATTTACCCTGAAGATAATTGTATATAATCACTATGCTTGTGGATACAGATGTACCTTCACACTGATGTGCTTATCATACAAATTTGTATTGTAGGGGTTGAAGAAATTCTTTGTGACTGCCTAAAAATGTATCATGATCACCAGTCTAAAGATTATAGTACTTGGAAGAGTTCACCGCTTCCACCAGTTCATGCAGTGGGAATATCCATTATCCATATCCATAAAGAGGGAGAAACACACAAAGGAAAGAATTTTGAAGTTTCGCTTCCTCTATCCTCCATGTCAGGCAGACGAGCTGAAATTCGAGGTCAGTTGGTAAAACTGTTCCCCCTCTTTCTCTTCTTTCGCAAGTTTTAACTGAATGTCTAGCACAGGCAACACGGTGGATATTAGACAGCTGAAGGCACAAAGTGGGTCAGCTTCCTTGACTAAGAGCCCAAGCTCTAGGCAATGATGCAGTTGAGAAGATGACATATTGTATTTTGGTAACCACACAAGGCAACTGAGGAAATCAAGATGGTCTTTCATATGGGAGTCATTGCAGTCCTGTCTCTTCAAGGACAGTCCTCAAAGTGTAAGTCCTCAAAGTCCTAAGTAATGCTATTTTTGCTCAAGAGTCTACACTAGGCTGACCAAGTAGTGAACTAATGCTAGCACTATTGGTGCTATTGGCTCACAACTATGAGCTTGCTTGCTGGAAAGGAGAGGTAGATTCCCATGGCAGAGCCCTGCCTGTGTGCTGTTGCTAACTCACTGCAGAATCACACGTCAGCTTAACATGCCTTTAGGGTATTGAAAATGGGATATTGCTACCAAATATCATGCTTAGGTTATGGCAGTAGCTCTGTCTAGGCAGCTCTGAACCGCCCAGCTGCCATGAACTGCCTGCGTCTAGGTGTGAAAGTCTTGAAACTTCTGTCTTGAACTCCAGCCCTCCACGAACGCTGGGCCTGTGTGTAGGAAGAGTCCTGATGGCCTATGTGTGATAAAAACGTAGTCGGAATTTATGTCCTGAGCAGGAACATCGCCTGATCTTATTCACACGAAAAATTATTTTCAAGCCTGTTTCTACCAGAAGTGTCTAGGTGTTTTCTCTGCTCTACGATCACTACTGGGTAAGTGAGCACAGATTAAAATGGTCAGGCACAGCGCTCTTTTGACAGCAGAAGTGGCTTTCCAGTTCCGGGTGACCGTTTGCAGGCTGCTCTATTTACTTCCCAGCTTTGCTTGTCCTGGGTGACAAAGCATCTTCTTTTCAGATATTCTTGGGATCTTTTAGCTTATGTTTGTTGGTAGCAATCTTACCTTAAACCATATAACTGAGATTTCAAGTTCCAAACCAGGGTGTATATATGTTATCCTACTCAGTCCTATGGCTTTGCAGCAGAATTAGAAGTATTTTTAACATGGGGCTTCAAACTAATATACTTTCTGTCAATTTATGCTGCCTAGTGGTGTACGTTTTTATCCTGCCTCACTGAAACCAAAGAAGTCGTCAGGATGGCCCAGCCTGCTGCACACCCCGGATCCGGTCTGCATGGGGATGCTGCCTTCGGTGTGCTGCAGTCCCGCAGGACGCATCGCAGCGCAGAGACAGTAGCATCACTCAGCGAAGCATTTCTCAGTGTTTTGTCAGGCATGCTGTGTTATGGATATCAACTGATAGAAGTCCTACTGTTTTCACCAGCTTTGGGCACAAACACTAGAAGCTAAGGCCTTATGGCTCTTCTGAAGAATTTTGTCATCTTCTCCTTTTTGCTGAATTAGGGAACTGATCTCTTTAATCCTCTAAATGTTTCATTTTGGAGTAAAATTTTTGGTTTTTTTTCTTTTCTTCCCTCCCTGCCCCAGCAGAATCATTCGGGTGAATCCAACCGTATTTGTTACTAGTGCTGTAGATTTGAAACTTCATTTTGGGGCAAGTAAAGCATTTGCTTTTTAAAAAAAAAAAAAAAAAAAACCTGCTTCTCTGCTTCTCTCTATGTGTCTTTTGCAAGCTAATATATGCCAGCTTTTGATGCTTATGCGCAGAGTTAGCCTGTGCACTTATTTCTGAATAAAGCAATGGGCTGAGCCCTCTTGGCATAGCTGCGAGAAGAGGCCAGGCCAGCATGACGGACCAGCACGGTTCTTTGCAGACGGATAAACAGAAGGACGTGTGAGAGCCCGAAACCTTAAAGCGGAGCAGCAGCCCTGAAGTTTGTTGTGTGCTTGCTGCTCTTTGTGGCTTTCTGCTTGCTCTACCCAACAAGTAAACGAGGACAAACACCTACAGCCTGCGTCGTCTTCTGCGACGACGTCGCCGGGTCCCTCAGTGCTGGGGCTCCTGCTCCAGGGCTGAGGCTCTGCTCCTGCTCCCTGCCTCCCTCGGCGCGTCTCCCGTGTGGTTCCTCTCCGCTCCGTCTTGTGGGACCCTCTCTGTTTTTTTGCAGCTCATCTCCCGGGAGACTTTTCCCCCTGCCTCAAGACAGTGCTTGAATTGAGTGAGGCGGGGAAAAAAAAAACAAAACCCACAACGGAAAGCACCTCCGCGGGGCCTGGAGGGGCTCGCGCGCTACGTTGAAGGCAGCAGGGCGGCAAGCAGGAGCCGAAGCAGCCTGGACAGGGGAGCGGGTGGAGCCGGCCGGCCGAGAGCTACCGCAGCCGTGACGCAGGTCTGTAGGGGCGCGCGTGCTTTGCGCTGCAGGGAAGGGGAGAGAAACGGCCTCTGGCGTCTACGGTTGCTTGCTTGGCGCCTGCCACCCCGCTGCCTTCTCCTCGAGCCTCTGCCTTTCTGCTGGAGGTAGCGCGTGTGCGTCCAGCCGGCGCCGGCCCTGCAGGGAGGCGTTTACTCCGAGCGAATGATGTCGGGCCTTTCCGTGCGAGGGCCGCGGCTGCCAGTTTGGTGCCCTGTGGTACCCCGAGACTGGATAGCCGTTGTCAGCTGCAGCTCATCTTTTTGGCTAGCCTCCCTCTTCTCTTCCAGGCAAACGATGAGTTTATGTCAGGGTCAGTAATCCCGATGTCGGCCCAGCTGAGAGAGGTAGCGCTTTAACGCGTGCGTGTGCATGTCTGGCAACCACAGCTTTAACAGACCTGCTCGTCTGCCTTCGAAAAGAAACAGTGGGGCTGAAAGGCTACGGGGTCACAATGTGCTGACTAAGGTCACGAGTTTTCGGTGACTCACAGTCTGTCTTTCTGGCAACCCAACCGTAAGGCAGGCTATGCTTTTTTGTATGCCTTTTTTTTTTTTTTTAACTCTTGAAAATAAGTCTACATCAGAAAAGTTAATGCTTACAGCTGTCCTGGAAGGTGTCTGCCTTTGGCAAGTCGCGTGTTCTCAAGGAAGAAACCCTCCCTCGCTCGGCTGTGCTAGCCTCTTTCTGCACTCGCAGAGAGACACCCTTTCAATTTACAGTAAGTTAAAGTTATTCTGAAAAACTGTTTGCTCGGTCATCAGTCTGGACACTGGGAGTTATCCGTATTTTCCATTTTCTTAATGCTCACTGCCCACCCTCAGGAGGGGAGCGCTAGGCAAAGCCGGCTGAAACAGGCTGTGTCATTATCTCACTTAGGCACTGGGATATTTTTGGCTGCCATTAAGTATCTAGTTTCTATAGTGAGGGATAGACTGTTCACAATTTTCCTTTTCTGTGCTGAAGATATGAATGATACTGCTGCAGCTATTAAGAATAATATCTGGAACTGGTCAAAGAAATGTCATTTAAGGGAATCTGAAAGGATAGGATTTTTTGACTTTTACTTTTCATAATTTTTTTCATTGACTCTCCTCACCTTTATTTTGCTCTCTTTTTCTTTTACCCCTCAAAATTTTATTTTCTGCTACTTATTCAAAAATTATAGATTTTGGAACGAATAAACATGTTATTGGAAACAAAGGCCGTTTCATTCTGAGATGTGAAGGATATTTTATAATAAGTTGTGATATTAAAAAAAAGCTGCTAAGAATATTTGTCTGTACAGGTTAATATCTGTGGCTTACCTGTAAACGCTCATCTCACGTCACCCTGCTGTGCGGGTGACAGGCAGACCGTCATGCACCACTGCCAGAGAAACAGATGGGCAGTTCACACGTCCCATGGAAGTACCTCTTAGAAGCAGGTCAGAGAAAAATGAACCAATTTGTATAAGAATAATCAGCACTAGAAGGATTCATTCAGACTCACAATAATGCATGTAATACTGATCATCAATTTGTTGTTTAGGAAAAAAAAAAACCAACGAAGCATTTTCAGCCTCTACAGAGAGTTTCCTACAGCATTTCAATTACCTTTGTGCTTGGGTTAAATCTCCTGGTACTGCTGTGAGAAATTTTATTTCTTATTTATTCTCATTTTATAGACTGGGAAGCAGGGACAAACTTGGCTGAGGACACAGAATGAATCTATTTGAAATTTTCTAGGAATTTTGCCATAGTTGATATCACTGGTTGAACGGCTTAAGCAAAAAGGAGGCCTTCAGTGCTTTATGTAGTTTAGCCTTCTTCTGAATAGATGCCCACAGTGGAAAAACGTCCGTTGTTTTGCTTGCACCGTTGCTCAGAAATTCGCTTCCACTGCTGCAGCCCATGGGAGATGTTACAGGAGAGATGTCACTTGTTTTCCACATTTCATCCTTTCTGTGTTTTCTTGTGCAAACTCAGACTAGGGAGAGATTTTCCCGGACGTGGATATCTGTGGTTCTTGTGGTATTTTTAGGCACACTGCTGCCAATCAGCTGATTTCCACAGAAAGCCCCAAAGAAGAGAGCTGAGGCCATAGAGCATTGTTGAGTGTTTGGGCGCTAGTACTACGGCAGGGGCTTAGCGGTGAAAATTTTTGTTTCCCAGCATGAAAACAAAGCTATTCTGTTGACTTAGATTTCATGCAGTGCTGACAGTGTTTGCTAGGGTGCTGCCAAAATACAAAGGGCAATACTGTTTTAAAAAAGCAGAAAGCATACTAAAAGTTTCTAAGCTGTGTTTCTCAAGGTTGCACAGTTGCTCGATTAGCAGCTTGGAGTTGGTCGGACCGCTTCCAGCTTCCCCACTTCACCCTCGTTTGTGCGTGATATTGCAGCTGTTCTGATGAAAAACAGTTATTTAAAAATTTGCTTGTAGCTATGGCAACCTGCATGCACTGTATTTCAATTGACACTCTCAAACAGCAGCAGAAGTTTCTTAATAGGATATTTATGAAGGTTTTAGTCTTTGTACATTTTTAAATGGAAATTTTCCATTTTTAAAGGGAGTTATCAAAATCTCATTAATTTTGGAACTGGATTTTTGTTGAGAGCTGCTGCTTAAGCTCTCTTTTTATGAGGCTTTTATTTTTTTGAGATTCCTCTGGATGCTTTAACTCTCTGAGAGCCTAAGATCTAGGGCACTTTCCAATGCCTTCTCCGCCTGGAGTCCAGACCCAGCCTCCTGTTCTCTCTGGTAGATGTCTTTTTATAATGGCACGGTGGAGTGGCAAGGAACCAGCTGCGTTTGGGTCAGACTAGCTGGCTTGCATTTTGACAGGGATTGCAAATTTTGCATTTGCACGGTGAATAAGCTGGGCAGTTTCTGTAGTCTTTTGCCCATGCAGTTGCCAGATATCTGCCTGCTCCGTGAGCAGTGGGCAGATGTGCTTGCAGCTGTGTTGTCCAGTCCCTCAATAATATTTCAACCTATCTCCTCAAGGCAACAAACTTTCAGTGCGTACTCACAGCTTGGCTAAGTACAGCCACAATATTTTTAGCTGTACAGACAGCTCCGTGTGTTAGCTGCACCTTGGAAGGGTTAAATTTGTAAAGCTGCTGTTTTCTTTTCTTTCTGTCTTCTTCCTTTTCTCTGTACATGCACTTCTTCAAAACCAGGAGGATAAAATTAAGGAAGCCTGGCCTAGAGACATACACTCTGCTGCCCTAAACCACCCTGAGCTGTGATGACATGTACTGGTGCCTCCGTAGTGCAGGATTAGGTCTAATTTATACTGTTTCTTCACCAACGGTTTTGACATAAGCTTTTCAACAGGGATTTACCTAATTGCATCTGAAACAGTAAGGGCTTTTGGCTAGGAAGCTCCTAGAGCCCAGGCAGGGAAGTTTGCTCTTAGTGAGGGACAAGTTGTTGGCCTTCAGCCACTGTAGGTGTGTGACTGGTCACTCTTGCTTTTCTTCAGCAGGGCAAGGCTGAAGTTGCTGGTTTGCGCTGGAAGACAGTAGTGTGGACAGGCATGTTCCTCAGTGAACAGAGGTTTGTTTAACTGCGAATTGGCTCCTTGTGTCCATAACAATGGTATTATTCTTGGCCCATATGATGAAATGTTCGTTTTTGGAAATGCCTTAAAAATAGAATATAATGAGCCAGTTGAGGAGGTGCTATCAAGGTATTCAAAGAGGATTGTTGTGTTTCTTTATTCTGTAGAAAAAGGTTTGAATTGATCACGTTTCTCACAGTACATCTAAGAGAAACCATGCAAGGCATGTTAAATGTTAAACAGCCTCTTGCCCTCCCTTTCTGCCTTTCAGGCTGACATTTTCTCCACCCTCACACTAGCACAATGAACATCAAGTGTCTCATCCGTATGCCACATCTATTTCTGTGATCAAACAAGGCAGGAACAGGACACGAAAAAAGAATATATTCCTATTAGATAGGCAGGGCTCTAGAAGGGGAATTGTACTACTGTGAAAGAGATTAAAATGAAATGATGAAACTTTGCAATCCATTTACTGTACTAAATCAACCACACTTTGTTCAGGGTTGTGAAGCTCTAACTGAGCCTGAAAAAGCTGCCAAGCAGACTGGAATTATGATATCTGTGTTGTGAATGGAAGTTTCTCATACTGTAAGAAATTAGAGGGATCAAAGAAAATAAGGCTGCATGGGAGCTTAAGGAATCATCTAGTCTAGACCATACGATGGTCCACAAAGCATTAAGAGACACCAAGAAGACTCAGGGCTTGCTTCAGAGGTGGGTCCAGGCTTTAGCAGTTTTGTGTTGTAAAAACTCCCTATCACAGTTCATCCACACAGTTAAGGATCTGCACAGCCCTGAGCCTCTGACGTGGAGGTAGAGTGCAGGACTGAGCAGAGCTGAAGCACGCCAGCCCTTCGAGGCATACAGGACTGTTATAAACCAGTGCAGCATGACTGAGGCCGGAGGTGCAGGGCTGCAGGGGAGACCCCAAGCGCATGTGTCTGTCTTCCTTTGCTGGGTTGCGTGCTGAGAACAACTTGGTCGACCCCAGAGACTGAAGCTCTTCGGCGTTTGCTGGCACTTGGAACGTGCAGCACAGCCGCACCGCTGCGCCCGTGCGGGCCCCCGCTGCGCTGCCGCCCGGGCGCTCCCACTATGGCACGGTTAACGCCAAACTGCACGTTAAAACAGCGTAAACACCAACTACTTCAGGATTTTGTAGTGAGGCAACCATACCACAAGCCAATCTTACTGTCTTAAAGAAACACTATTATCTTCAGTTGGCATGGGCAGTCAAGAAGCTGTGTTACAAGCTGTAGCCTTCCTTGCTATGTTATCCTGATTTGTTAGGTGGTTTTAAGGTCATACTGGCTTCTTGTACTGGTTGAAGAAAGCAAGCACAGCTAGAAGGCTAGCAATGGGGAAAATTTGAGCAGGATTTGTGTCTTGTTAAGTAACTTGCAAGTGGTGATTCACCTTTGCTTAGATTTTATTTTAAGGGGAATTTTCTCAGTCCCTTTTTATGACTAGAAGGTGTAGATGGGTTTAACTCATTTTAGCAATTCAGTGTCTTTTAGCTGCAAAACTACAATGGAATGAAAAAATGCAGTTTGGAAATGAACCACCAAGGTTTATTTTATTCTGTAGTTGCCCACTGAAAAAACAGGAGCTTTTTTCCCCCCTACTAAAAACATTGACACCAGCTCACCACTGGATGGAATTAACCGGGTAAATATGTGAGCTACCATCTGCAAAAGCTGTTTTCAGAAGGTGCTCAGAGGAGTCGGGGCAGGCTCCGGGGCTCGTGCCGGCTGCACCGACAGCTCAGTGACGCTGCTTGGACAAGCCCTGGCAGGATATTTTACATTTAAACAAACGTACAAATATTTATGGGGGCCTTTTAAAAATCTGTCGATCACCATCTGGCTTCCCCGTTTCAGACATAATGCAATGTTTCCAACATGTCTGGTCTTTTTTCTAATCAAATGGGCTGTGAATTTTAGGAGCCATTGCTCTCCATAATTTCATAGGAGCTCTCCAGCTAAGTCTGATGGATGGGTAACTTTGAAATTCCTCTCCGTGACTTTCTTAGCCTTTAAAGTCTCGTTACTCAATCCTGGCTGAACACGTGGAAAGTTCTGGCTCCATGTTTCTACTGTCTTTGTTTTACTTCAGAGGTTTTTCCCTTCCCCCTTAACCTTAAAGCTTGCATCCTCGGTGGAAAAAAATAGTCTCTAAACTTCTAGTTAAATAAAATCTGCTCAGATAAACCCCTTTCAAGGTCTAAGAAATCTTGTGATAAAGCCTGGTTCTGTGATGTGAACTCCTCAAAATTGGCAGAGATACGGAGAACGCGCATACTTATTTGAGCAGAACAAATATTTATAGGAGCCTATTAAGATATGTCTCTTGCCCTCTGAATCATCTGCTTCAGAAGAAATGAAATATTGCCAGCATGTTTGGCCCTTTTCTAAATATTGGAGTGGAAGTAGGGGGATATCCATGACTAGACTGAAAAGTATTAAGTGCATTTAATATTTAATAATTGAATGCATTCAATATGTAATTGAATGCATTTAATATTAAATGCGTTTAATATTTTGGGACTTTTCCTACCTTCCCTCAGAATAGCAAGAAGACGTGTGAAGCTCGTTTTACCCGTTAGAGGGCAGAAGTGTACCAGCGAAGAGCCTGGGAAGCGTCGCTGCTGCCTGCCAGTGCGAATGTAAATCAGCGGCAGAGGTAATTACAGCTGGGCAGAGCACCATGACAGCAGCCTGCTCCAGCCAGATCAGACAAATCTGGGCGCTGAAAGCCAAAGGCTGTATACGCTGGATTTGGGTCCGTGTTGATGCTTTTTTATTTTTTTAAAGGGTTCTGACTGAGTTTTGAGGGGGGGGGGGGCTGCGTATTAGTACGTGGGCATCTTGAAAAATATGATGCTAAATATCTGGCAAGCATTTTTAAGGGAACAAAATCAGAGAGCGAATGTTTGTCAGTTAATTCTACAGATAGAATGTGTGAAGGGGAAAAGTGGTTTGCTTTAAGAATATTAGTCTTAGTGGGGAATTTACAGGTGGCACTGGAACAAGGGAAGGGGCATAGACAGTACGGGCTGCTCTCAGAACCATCTCTTCCACTGACCAGCCCTGGGGATTTGTTCCGTGCCTTTTCTGGATGCTGCAGGAGCAGAAATTCGGCGGTGCTCGGCTTGTTTAATCAAAGCAGCTCTGCAGTTGTCTTTGCTCCAAGGGCTGCCTGTTTGCACAGAAGATTGCTCATCTGAACCCCCAAAATCTTTCCTCTGTCTCCTTCCCCCTTCCCCTAAAAGGCCTGGTGTGCAGCAGCATGCAGCTCGCTCTCGTTGAACTAACTGCAGAGCTACTTGGGAAGCCAAACGACTCGCCGGATTTATTAAAATGCATTGCTTGCTTTGCTTCAGCAGTGCTGATGTTGGTAAGAACAACAGGGCAAACACCTCAGCAGTCAAGCTGAGCACCTGTGCAGTGTTTATCTCACGCACACCCCGAGGCTGAATATGGCTCAGCTATTGCACGATGGGCAGTGGTGATATTAGCTTTGAATAGTATTTGGAAATCAGTGAAGCTAGGCCTGACCGGTTAGAAAAACTAGATGCCGAGATAGCTGGTGAGCTTAATGCCAAGCTGCATTCCCAGGCGCCGCTTGGGGCGAGGTGGGAGGTGGGGATTGGTGTTTGGGCAGAAGATTTTCCCCTGCTTGGCTGGAGACAGCGGCTGGGAGACCCTCTCGGCCATGGGGGTGTGGTGAGAGCACGGGGTGCATGTCCACTGCTGCCTGGCCACGTCTATGGAATAAAAAAGAAAGATGCAGCTCACCAAGTGCTTGGTGGTGGGAGTATATTGCGTAGAATTGGGGGGGGAAACAAGGGTATCTAAATGCTGTGGGTATGTGACAGGGAGCTAAAGAGCATCACTGAACAGCCCCACAAACAGGCTGAAGGATGGCATTGAATTGCCTAAATAAAAATGCACCAGTGGACTCAGACTGATCTCACCTGTGAGCACTGAAGTCCCTCTTGTCTGAATAACCAGTTGTGACCAGTCAGGGTTTGCATCCTATCTCTAAAGATAGAGGCGCTTGATTAAAACTCTTAACCTTTGTTAAGAGTTGCTTCAGCACTGACTCACAGAGGAGACTGCAGTGAATTGAATCACTGCTCACATTGTCTGCTATGTGGAGGCTTTCGTTGCGGAAAACAGGTGAGTGAAAAACCGGTAAGGTCTAAGGGGATCACCACCCAAACCGCTGTAATCATTTTAACTTGATAACTGCTGCAGTCTGGGCTCAGCCTCACTAGGATGGCATTTTCCACTGCAAGATTGTTCTCCTGCTTTTCTTTTGATTATGCTGGTATTGCCCTGTGTCCAAATATAGAATAACTCAATGTTTCCATTCAGTGCTTTTGTATGTAAAATGTGTTAATCTGTTCTAAGCAGCAGAGCATCTTCTATAAACTGATATTCTGGCACCGCCTTTGGCCTGTCGCTATTTCAACTTTTTGGAGCTGTTTAAAGGGGAAGCGTGTGCTCTGTGGCAGGGAGCACAGCTGCAGCATCCAGCCTCTCCAGGGCACCGAGGTGTCTCCAACCAGCGGGACTCTCCTCATCACAGGAGTCTGGGCCTACGTTGACACGCAGAAGTCATCACCAGGTGCAACGTTGCAGACTTAGCCTGTTTTGAAGGAAAGCCCTTTGCTCCTAGCAAAGGCTGAATCAGAGAAGGGGGGGTTTCTGAGTAGGTTGAAAAATCTTTGAGGATAGCAGCTATGTACAAAAAGGCTGTGCTTAAGGACGGTTAGTGTGAAGGATAAAATCTAACCCACGACACATATGAGTAGCCTCAGCAGAGGATTTCCAAGACAGAGGTGACTCCAGTAAGCCATACAGACAGTCCCACTCCGTTCTGCCCTGTTGAATGAGCCGGCTCTAAGCTGTCTGCTCGGCAGGAGTTACAGGCAGCGCAGCCGCCAGCAGTGGAACAAACAACCTCCAACACCTCTATTTATATCTAAGGAGAGCTGCTGCCTTGGAGGTTGCAAGGGAAAAAGAGAATCAGCAGCTGGCTGTATGTGCCATAAGCAACGTTTCCCTCGTACAACCCCCATCGCCAGCTTGTACCAACCCATAGGTGTTGGAAGAACCCTGCTCACAAGGCAGAGCTGGCTTGTTATCACATTTCATAACATTTCCTTGCTCATAACTAGCTGAATGTTGGACATCTGATCTTGATTCAAGGCAGGGAGGGCTTTGCAGCTCCAAAGTAACTAAGTGAAGGGAAGTGTCAGCCCGTTGGGGGGGAAGGGACCTCAATTTTCCACAGTGAATGAGTGACAAAACAATTACATCGTACCTGGCAACATAACTACTTTATGAAGATAAATTTCTCGAAGGCAAGACTAAGGCGAGCAGCGTTGTGCTCTGGCATGCCATTTGCTGCTCTGCCTCGTGTTGATTTCAGTAGTTTCTCTAGAGCAAGAGGCTATGCAGCAAAACTGATGTGGCGAAGTCAGACCCTCAGACGGGGTCAAGAATTTCATCACTGAGCTTTTCACATATTTGTAACATGATATTAATGTTAGGCGAGACCATTTATCAATTACTTAAGAATTTACTTCCCAGCCCACACCCCAAATATTTCACGCAGGGTTTCTTGCAGTACTCCCAGTCGCTATTGGAAGCCACTGGCCAGAAAGTAGAGAGAAAATGTACTTTGCCTGACATTTTTTAAAAAAAGACTCTTTCCTTTCTAACAGGGATTATCCGTGACCGCATAAGACTCCGCCAAAGACAGATAGAGTTAGACTACAAACCCAACAAGTCATACCCAGCAGCCTGTAATGGCTGTGCATATGCAGGCTCTTTGCTGTGCAGCCCAGGAGAGTGGCTTAACACTTATCTTAAAAAGCTAATGTTTATTTTGGGGTTCCTGTAAATTCATAGTGTTTCATTTGCTGCCAAATTGCAACAAAACCCACACAATGATTAAGAAGCCTTGCACGTAGATACAGAAAATGCAATTGCAAAATTGCTGAATAGAAATAGCTCTATCTTTAAATGATCGTGAGCTGTCAGCTGTTCCTTTGTTCAGATTATTATAGGCACATATAAAACATCTGATTGAATGTTCAAGTTTTCACCGTCTAGCATCCAGACGGATGTCTGATAAAGTAACAAACACACCCCACTCCACCCCTCCGCAAAAAGCCCCTTCCTGCAGCGGCTGGATTTCTCCTTGTATTAAAGCCAGTATTTCATGGACTAAATTGGACAAGTAAAGCAAATAATCTCCCTTGCATTGATTTCCAGATCAAATCATTGTTAATCGCACCAATATCCCCAGCCAATTTGACAGCCCCTGAGACCGGCTTTCCTTCTCAAAGAGGCTCCTCCGCGCAGATGCCACGGCGCGCTCCGCGTGTGCCGCTGAGCTTTGCTGGTGATTATTGCTGGCAACATTCAAGTCCAATTCTCTCATCCCTTCTTCTCCCCTCCCACCCTTCCCCCTTGCACAGGAAAGGGAAAAAAAAGTAATTTTTCACCTTACACCAGATTTCTGCCTGGTGCTAAAGTACTGATCTAGTGTGTCCCGGCTTGCCTGTAAACATCCAGAAAACTCCACCTCTGAGAAGCCGGGCAGACGTTTCGGTGGGGTGAGCCGTACATTTCTGGGGTGAAACTCTGCTGTTTTGTGGTACGACCCTGAGCGGCTCTCGCGAGGATGAGGGGTGGCGTGGAGGGGTGCTCGCGGCCGCTGGTGCCTGCCGCCTCCGCTCGTGCTGCCGGGGGGCCGGGAGCCCAGCCCTGCACACGTTTGGCCAGGGGACTCGTTGCAAAGCCGTGTGCAGCTCCCTAAGGTCAGGGAGATGCTTTAAGCTGAGCGAGTGCCTGTCCTTTTGGGGACGGGACACCAGGGCAGGGACAGCAGAGTCAGCTGAAAGGCAGCATGGCCTGAGACCGAATTAACGGTCCGGCCGCAGCGGGGAGGACGAGCGGTGCTCGGAGGCTGCAGCACCTTCTCCCAGCCGGACGCAGCTCTGTTTGCCGTGTAATAAAGTCATCTTGTCCATAAGCAAGACTTCAGGACTGTATCTATTTGGAACTGTAAATTAATTAAAAGTAGGCACTGATTAACCTCCCTCCACTTTGTTTCCTTGCCAGGGCAGCAAGGCTGCTCCCGGTGCAGCCCGCCTCTGCGTCCCAGCGAGCCCGGGGTTCGCTAAGGGCTCCCCTTCGCCTAACGAGCCCCTTGACAGGTTGGTGGTGTTTTTTGTCAAAGTGTTTCCCCCTCATGCTTTTCCTGAGACCGTACGCAGACTGGCTATAATCTGGCTTTAGGCTGTGCTCTCAGACATAGAGTAGATGTTGAGATTGGGACCGTTTTTCGGAGGCTCCCTGCCTTGGAAGTGGAGAGCTTGGTGGAGCCAAGAAGACACTAGGAAGAGCCACATCATCCTAGTGAGACGCTCGAGCTGAATTTGGGGAGGGCTAGTGTGACATGCAGCCACCTGAACCGTCCCGAAGTGCTTTGCATAGGGTGTAAGGAAGCTTTAGCCAAAGGTGAGGACATTGGGGCTAAACTCATCTCTGCCACGGTTGTGCTGTTACAGGCTACCATTTGCTCTACAAGTGGCAGCGAGCATGCACAAGCCCCCAGACACGTCAGGAGATCCTGCCATGGCTACGCAATCAACCACATCAGCTCTGCAAGTGGCTTCACCCACCAAGAGCTATTCTTTATTCTCTTGCTGTCGCATTTTCCTGTCTGATCGCTTGTAAATCAAATTGCTGTGGTCTCTGAGAATAATGTTGCATGCCTCCGAAAGTTACTGTTTGCAGAGCGGCATCCTATTTTCCCCTCTGAATAATCATTTTTGTAATCTGAAACTAAACAAGAAAACCCCAACACCTAACATGGAAGAAAGGAAAATTATCGTGGAATAAATCTCCATTGACTCAGCTAAATTTCCCCATAAATATGTATTACTTCTGGAGCTTCCTGTGAAGGCAGCAATGAGGAGAATTACTCTGCTCAGTTTTTACCTACCGACCATAGCAAACATTTTCCTCAACATGCTATCGAAAGGTGTTGTAGAGCTGATGCATTCGCTGCTTTCTGTTTAATAGAGCAGATATTCAAATCAGGCAATGTCCCTTGTCACAAATATAATTTCATCCTTCTACAGCACTTGCCAGGCATCATTGCAGTGGCATCATTGTTAGATACTGTGCTTGGTTCATTACTTTAAAATATGTTAGCACTTTGTTCATAATAGGTTTGATGGCTTGGACAATATAGGTGCTGAATTTTTAATGGTAGCAATAAGGTATTTATTTTATTTGTATTTGAAAAAGCAGCAGAAACCACAAATGCCTTTTGAGAAAGCTTGTTTCTGTGAGACTAAGTCCAATTTTGCAGCCTTGTCTGATGATGCCAGTACCCTTTCTTTGAGGTGGTACTGAAAATAAGCCGCAATTACTGCAGGTGATTTGTAATTTGGGGGCAGTCTGCAAAGTACTTTTGGGGGCTCCAGCAGCAGGTTGTGAGTATTAACTGCATCGTCACAGCCCAATGCAGAGCCTCTGGTCGGCACTGGAGGTCTCATCTGTACCCACAGGGAGAAAACCTTGTCGTTGCTTGGAACACCTTTAAATTGGTGTCAGAGATGGCACGCTGAGTCTTTAGAGGAGCTAAAAACCTGTTACTGATGGCGTTATGGGAGGAAACCCTTTTTGACAGAGTACCTTGCTGGCCGTCACCTGCTTTGTGTGCCGTAGTCTGTGTTTTTAGCTAATTGCAACGATGCACAAGCTACTCCTTTCCCCAGAAACATGCTAAAAGGTTGTACGAAGTTCATAGATGTGTGCGCAGCGGGCAGGTCCCTGTGCAGGTGTTTGCATGTGAGCAGGAGAAAGCACAAGGGAGTGGGGAGGGAGGCTCTTCCCAGCCAGGAACCCGTAACGACATGGGGGAAAAAAGGTGAAATGTTGAGGGAGGAGCATTTGAGAGCATCTCCTCTGCAAAGCATAGCACAGATCTTATTTTTAAAGTCACAGACACAAAAATTCAGCTCTCTATGAAACTGAAAATTGTCTCACAGCAAAATATGCTAATTTATGAGTCAGATTTCATTCATTGAGATGTGAACTAGAGTAATTTCTTCCTATTTTTGAATGCAAATTGCAATTCAGCCTTAACTATGGCAGTATGCCCATAAGGCAGGGCTGAAGAAAGTCTATCAAATTTATTTTATTCTTGTTTTAAACTTAACAAAATCTTTTTTCAATAAGCCTCATCTCATCCATCCCACAACAGGCTCTTCTACCACATATTACATTTAGTTTTTGAATAGAGGGCTCAGCTCATGCAGTCAGTGTGACAATGTGCCGTAGGGCTGCAAGTCTCCCTCACCTGCCCTGTCTCAGACTGCGATGGCCAGGCTTGGCAGCAGCACTTCAGGCCTGGCTTTTAGAGCCTGATAAGGAACAGCCTCTGCAGCCTGCTAAAATACAGGCCTTGGCGGAGCAGATCCTTTCTGATCTATTGGGTAAGTCCCTATTGCTAGCAAAGGAGTTGGGGCAGGCATGCCTAATATAGCATTAACTTAACAACTAATTTCCCATGGACTAACTGGTCTGAATATCTGCCTGGCTCCTTGGGAGCATTTTGCAGCCCCTACGTTGCTGCAACCCGGAGGCTGGCGTTTCAGATGGTGAAAATGCTGTTTAGCTGGCTAAACCTTCCTTTTCTTTCCTGACGACCCACGTGCGAACGTGCCCGCGTGCCGTCCTTGGGTTCCTGCCTGCCGTGCCCCTCGCGGCCGCGGGGCGGGGCCAGCCACAGGCAGCCCGACAGCTAGTCAAGACCAGAAAGGTCATAGTGTGCCTTAATTCCCTTCTTACTTTGTTGCTGGTGGGAACTAGCTCTATCTAACTTGTAGCAGTCTAATACTCACAGAGCAGGGACGTGGTTAGGCATAGTCAATATCTGACATATTTTTACTTTGATGTAAATGCTGTATATGTAGGAGAATTTGCTTCTATTTTGATTTGCAAGTTGAAGTAATGATTTTTTCCTGAAAAAATGAACTACCCCAATGATAGCATAGCTTCATGCTGTGATAGCCTCTAGGCTTCTCTTTGACCTGCTTCTGAAAATGCTGCGTAACCACCACCAGACCTGAACTTGTACTGAGCACCATAGGCACTGAAAGAAAGAGAAGAATGGGGAGAAGGAGAGAGAAAAAGACAGAAAGGATTGAAGTTTGCTTCCTCTTGTATATTTAATTGATTTCTAAAAACTGTTTTGATAACTTTTATCTGCTCACAATAGCATTGCCTGTGTATTTATGTCATATTCTCTCTGTATGAGTCTAATGACTGCCTGAAATCACTGACTGAAAGCAATTGCTTGGACATCCCTCCGTATACTTTAAAGGGTGATAAAAGTCTGAGGTTTTGGTTATTGTTCAGGTCACATCTGGAATCGACTCCAGCCCCGTGTCTGGCATGGCGAGTCGATAGCCTCACTCGATATTCCGCTGGCATCTTTTGCTTTCCTCGGCTTACTCCTTCTGACCCGACGTTGCTGGGTGGTTTTGTAACAGGAGGGATTGCGTGCAAGAGGCAAAGTGCACTGTTTTGCGGTAGATAGTCGGTGTGAGGAAAAAAACTCCTTAAAGCTCCTGTTGTGACAGAGGTGGCAACAAAAGCAGAAGACTTGCTGGCGCAGAGGGGGTGGCTGTCCCTGTGACAGCAGACGTTCGGACGCGATACCTGGCTGTAAAGCAATGGGCTTCACACTAATTTCCAAAGTGCTGTCAGCCTGCTTCAGGTCTTGAAGCTTCTCTGCCAAAGACGGCACGATGTTGTTGCTTGCCACTGCTGCTGCTGTCTGAGGTGATTTGTTCCCACCTACACTTTAGCATAATGGACACATAAACTACAGCATGGAGTAAATAAAGCTTTTTTAATGCCCTCCACTCCCATTTCAAAATTCTCTCTCTCTTTTTTTTTTTTTAATCATGCAGAAAGGGTGAAAATACTGCTGATTGCACTTAACAGGGAAACCGAAGCAGGTTTCCTCCTTGCAGAGGCCACCTGTGTTTTACAGTATGTCAGGCAGCAGGAGATTCGGAAATTTGTGTTAAACAATGTTATGTCCCCTGCCATAGAAAGTCATCGCTACAACCTCCCGTTGTGTTGTGGGAAACTCTCACAGCCTGCCTTAGAAGGACTGTTCCTGCATAGTCTGTAGATGCTTAGGGTAAGCAAACCTTACCAAGTTCATAAACTGAATTAAAGTCTGGTATTGGTAAATTATAAGAAAAACCCTCAACCTTAAAATCGCTTAGGGTAAAACACCCCAATTAGTAGCTATCACCATCTAACAGGACAAGCCACCTCATGAGCTTAAGAATAAACCCAATGTGCACTGGTATGACTGACTGCAAGAAGGAAGGGGAAGACTAGGACAAAATAGGAAGAAGCTATATTTAAAAGAAAGGCATCTTAACACGCAGTCTCACTCTTCATGTTTCAGTGCTCAAGTCACAGTGCAGCTTCCTGCTATTATTAGAGCAATTAAAACGCAGTTACTTTTTCATCTTTATTTCAGTTCTTGAATAATTGAAGGCACTTTACATCAAGGGTGACCCATAAATGAAGGCATTTTGCATGTGAAAAGCTGCAAAGGGTGGAAGACACTGGGATATCGGCAGTGAGCAGAGTGCAACTGAGATTGTTAATGCTACAGTAAGCTCCCTCCTTTGCGCAGCTCTACAGGCTCGTGGAAAGAGGCCAAATGCTGCATTTCTGTACTTTATCTTGATTAAACGGCTGTTTCAATTTGGTATTCATTCCTTTCATATTTGTAATTACTTAAAGATTTTCATTTTATAGTATTCACTTATTTAACTGCTTGTTTCCTGCCAAGTCTAAAAAAAGAAAGGCTTTCCCCTCCCTTCTCCTTTTGGAGCTGTAATGAAGGCAAAAGAGTTTTACACAAAATTACTTCTATATTTAAAGTCTCCTGATGTAAATCGCTGACTGCTTTAAATAGCCAGAGCTGGCAGATACTGCAAATAAGCATTAGAGTGAAAGATAACAAGCTGCTGAGAGAGACTGACAGCCGCTGCAAGCGTGGAGGCAAGCTGAGGTGGAAGGGAGGGGAGCAGTGGGCTGACCTGCAGGGATGCCTCCCCTGCCCAGGTCCTCCAGATGAATTTGGCTATTGCCACGATTCCTTTTCGGCTGT